GTGTTGAATGTTAATTCACCCTGCATAATTGCAATAAATATTTTCTCAAAATTTCATCTAATATACTCTGGTGGACGAATATCATGCTTACCACTTATAAGCACTGTTTAATGTTGTTTATTATTTTTGTTAGTTATAGAATTATTAGTTATAAACATTTCAGTTCTGATTTGGGAAGGTATTTCACAGTTTTACATATCAGGCTCAAGTTGAAGATTAATTTTATATTTGTGACAGATCTATTTCTTATATCCCACCTACGTTTACTGATACTGGTGATATGTTGACGTCAAAGAAACAAACACTTTGTGATGTGACCTTTATACTTGATATTTCCTCCAATAAGCACACAGCATGAAGCTGCATAAAACACAGTAAGTGCTGGGTATAGTTAGCTTTCAATTACTTCGCCCTGGACGCAGAAACGAATTCTATTCTATGTCATATTATTAGTGATTGTGCAACACTGTTGTTGAAATATTATGCACCGGGTCTCAAATTACCACTGGGTTTGGAAGCATGCTCAAAGAATAAATGCCGGGGTGTTTATTTGAGGAAATATGGTACTTGTGGAGAAACTTAATATGGAACTATTATAATTGTTTTCCTCCAAGTTACTGACAACACTACATAAGCTCTAGACTATTTCCAGGGTTTTGAAAAAGACGAAGTATTTTTAACACTTTTGCCTAATGAATAATTGCGCCAAATTTATCACTTTGTATGTTGATGTAATTGATGGTTTACAGCTTTGCATGCATTTACTGCGTTTTCTCCGAGCTTCTAAATATTTCTCCAAAATCCACTTCCATATTTTCCAGCTGTAGTATTTTTGTTATACAAGGCAATAAAGTTCTTTAGAAAAAAATAGTTTTGTTCGTATGTTTGTATGTTGTTAAACACAGACTCTGTAAATTATGGAGTCCAGTGATTGACAACATGAGCACCGTTCCAAGCATTGGGGAAATGATACAATCGATTAAGTCACTGAACCTGACCACCAGATCCATTCAGTCGCCTTGTATGACAAACAGAGGTTGCTGGGGAATCCCCGGGGTTTGAAGATGAAAATGATCAGTGCAACCCAGTCTCGTCCATGTGATCATTTTCATTAATGGAGTTCGTACATCAAAGATCGCAATATTCACTCACTACACAACTATTACTACCGAGAGTGAACCACGGCTTACAATAGCCATGTCTGGAGTGAGTGATACACACATAATCTGGGCTTCCCATGTAAAGAAAGCTTGACAAATATATTGAAAACATAAAAATTTATTTCTATTTTCTGGTTTGTGGAATAAAATATACATAAAATCATTAATTAAAATCATTCCTATCAGACATGCTTTGGCTTAAGGCATGGACCTGAGACAAGAGAGCATGTGTTTCAAATCTGACAAACATTCTCATTCACTGACAGCCAATGTTTTCCACACTTATAAAGGTTTCACAAAACGGCCGGAGAAGCAATGATACATATTCTTTTGCCTTTAATCTATTTACTTAAAATTTACAAAAAAATAAAAACTTACATCAAGCTACTGAAATAAAGTTCAATGCAAAATTTGAAATCATCTACACATTTGCTAAGGACCAAAACTTTTCGTTGCCAAGATACTGTTGCAAGTTGTAGTGGTGAAGTTCATGTTGTTTACCCATCAAATTAGACCATGAAGTGACAGATGGCATCACTAGCATCTTTGTTTTTCAACTTCTGTCTAACAACCATCTTTAGTCAAAGGTGTGATGCTGTTTCTAGGTTTGTCAGCACCATACTCGTGCTTGTGGGTTTCACTGAAGTGGTAAACGTCTAAGACCTGCATCACTTCAGGCTTTCCTCCCACATTAAGCTGGCACGCCGTGATATGACTTGAATACTGTTAAAAGCGGTGTTAAACACAACTCACTCACTCACTCACAGATGTGATCCTTAGCAAATGTTGAGTAGTATATTGGAATTCGTAGAGTATGATCCACCAATGTTGTGCCTCATTATGACAAGCTCAACCACACAGCTTCGTAGCTGACTGACTGGAGAATTCTGGCATACAATATTTTGCATGTCACCGATTACAAGATTAAGCTAAAATGAGCTTATGACCATCTTGTTTGTTTGTTGTTTAACGCTGCACTCAGAAATATTCCAGCTATATGACGGCAGATTGTAAATAATTGACTCTGGACCAGATTATCCAGTGATTGACATCGATTGGAATCGATGACATGCATCAACCAAGTCAGCGAGTCTGACCACCAGTTCAACCACCTTGTTTTAAAACTGATTTGGACCAAAATTGTCAATTTAAACAGATGAGGGGAGACTTTTGTATCAGATCACATGTTTAAAACATGGCACAAACCACTGGATATTTGATGTCTTTGGAAAACATTAATGTCTGCTATCAGTCATCTTGGCAATAATCTGGAAAACATTTGTACAAATAATTGATTGCATGAAGAGCTGCAATTGCATTTTTTGTTACATAGATTTGGGAAAAAGGAAAAGTCTGCTTAGGTTTTTGGCACGTAATTCAAACAATTACAAGATTGGAATGTCACACAATTTCTCAAACACATCTACTGATTTTATGGCATGTATTCAATATGAAATCTATAATCACAAAAATAATTTCATCAAATCACGCTGCATCCTGCCTTTAATATTATGCTCTTTGTCATTGCTTCAAAACAAGATTTATTATTTCGAACTATACCATGAAAATATGGTTAAAATATAAAAATGTAATATTTGTAGAAAATTGTACTTGCATGTCAAAGTAATAAATTATTTAGGTCAGAATTATTATTACACTGCAAAATAAAAAAATACAATAAGATGGATTTCTGCAAAAAGATCATCAGCAACATTTACCCTTGAAGGAACAGCTACAATGATTTGTAATTGTAACTTCATGGAACAATCTTTGAAAATGAATTAAAATTGATTAAGTTAGCACCAAGTTAAGTTCTGACTTGTTTGGCTTCAGAAACCTCAAGACCTCGGCCTGTTTTGGTTTTTAGGATCCCCAGACCTCCCCCTCTCCAGGCAGACACACTATCCACATGACGGAGATGGAGATGGAGACGATCTCATGTAGTGAAAGAGTTGCAACACAGGAACAGCACCACGGTCTCGAGTTATGGCTAGAGTGTCTGGGAACTAGAGGTGTAACGATACAGCAGGTCGCAATTTAACTATGGAGAGTGAGTGAGTGAGTTGGGTTTAACGCCGCTTTTAACAGTATTCCAGTCATATCGCGGCGTGTCAGCTTAATATGGGAGAAAAGCCCGAGGTGATGCAGGTCTCAGACGTTTACCACTTCGGTGAAACCCACGAGCATGGGTATGGTGCTGACAAACCTAGAAACATAATCGGGGCGAACCGGGATTCGAACCCACAATCATAGGTTTCTGGCGTGCCTAAGGGACACAACTCTCCACAGCGAATCCCGGCACCTTAGACGACTGGGCCACCCGTGCCCCCCTGACTATGGAGACGATCTCATGCAGTGAAAGAGTTGCAACACAGGAACAGGAACAGCACCAAGGTCTCGAGTTCTGGCTAGAGTGTGTAGGAACTTGAGGTGTAACGATACAGCAGGTTGCGGTATGATTTGTATCTCGGTACAGTACTCTTATTTCATAGCTTGATCTTATTTCTTTTTGCAGTGAATCACAAGCCAGCATCATTTGTTTCAAAATTTCAGAGATCGAAGATGGGATATTGTAGAAACATATAGGTCAGAGGGCACTGTGAATGTTCTGCTATTTATAGACAACCGGGAGATACGAGAGAATCTGCGTAAGCTGGCTGTTGAACAGTTTCTGTTATTATTTTAACACTGAGATAACTTGTAGTGTAATGTAACACATGTATCGTGATACAGGGGTTGATGTATCCGTTTACAACCCCTGTATTACGATACGTTGTATCTAGGCCTTGTTTAGGGATACCATACTGTATTGTCATATCGTTGCACCACTACTAGGAACAGTGCCACTGTCTACAGGTCTTGCTGAAGTCGACAGGAACAGCACCACTGTCTACAGTTATTGCTGAAGTCTCCAGGAACAGCGCCACTGTCTACAGTTATAGCTGAAGTCTCCAGGAACAATGACACTGTCTACAGTTATTGCTGAAGTCTCCAGGAACAGTGCCACTGTCTACAGTTATTGCTGAAGTCTCCAGGAATAGCGCCACTGTCTACAGTTGTTGCTAAAGTCTCCAGGAATAGCGCCACTGTCTACAGTTGTTGCTGAAGTCTCCAGGAACAGTGCCACTGTCTACAGTTGTTGCTAAAGTCTCCAGGAATAGCGCTAATGTCTGCAGGTCTTGATGAAGTCTCCAGGAACAGTGCCATTGGTGGAAGCCAACAACAGTATCAGTATTTTGCCACTAGTCTATAGTCCAAGTCTACTTAAAGTTCTTTCGGTCTAGTAAGCTTTGCAAATAGAAGTATATTCACTAACACTAAGATCTACTAAAATTAATGTTAAGAGACATGTTCGGGCTATTAGTTTTTGGCACGGATTGCAGTATGTTAATCTCCATTGGAAACCAAGATTTAATTTCCCAATTCTACATCTAATGATTCGATGAACAGAGATCAAAAAAAGTTTTAAGAAACTAATATTTCTATCAAACTACAAAATGAATCAAAGACTCCACCAACCGAGTAAAAGTTCGCTTCCTGGGGGAAAATAATACAATATTGAGCATTAAGGGGGATATCAATCATTTTTCATTAATAATCATGCTAAATTAGGCTTTATCATTGTAATTACAACTAAAGTAGAAACTCTGGACACTTTTTTCATCAACTCTTAAAAAACTCTAAAAAATATAATGTCAACCGTAAAACTACTCACTTCTAGATGGTTCAAAACACAACAAACACAAAACCAAGGCTTTAAAATAGCATCAACATAGAACTGTATAGTCAAACATTTTTTGTCCATTATTCTGATGAGTGAAAAATATGAAAACGTTCTCATTGCTGACAATAAGGACTGGGACTGTGTTTATGCATAAGCTTTACATAGGATATAATTTAGTCTATCTCGGGCAGGCTTGAAGTGGGACTGTAATGAGAGCGTTGATTTGTAAAACAGCACAGCATGGTCCCATTGTTCCTGAAAGTAAGACATGGAAAATTACATGTCATACATTTCATAACACATTCAAGATGAAATGGACATTAATTTCCAGAAAGTTTGCCTTGGTAATTTCTAACATAAATAGGGGCGGTCGGGTAGCCTAGTGGTTAAAGTGTTCGCTCGTCACGCCGAAGACCCGGGTTCGAATCCCGACATGGGTACAATGTGTGAAGCCCATTTCTGGTGTCCCACGCCGTTTCTATTGCTGGAATATTGCTAAAAGCGGTGTAAAACCAAACTCACTCACTCACTCTAACATAAATCAGAAATACATCAATACAACAGCATTACAACGACTGAGATGTTTCTGCTGAATGGTTGAGTACTGGACTGTCGTGGACCTGTTTGCACCAATCATTATTTTGTAGTGTTCAGCTAACATGAGTGTTAGAACTAACTTTTTTTTTTTTGGTTTCATGCCACACTCAGCAATATTACAGGTATATGATGGCAGTCTGTACGACCAGGCAATCACTTAGACATCATTAGCATCGATCTGCGCAATTAGGACACAATGACATGTATCAACCAAGTCAGCGAGACGGACCACCCGATCCTATCAGTTGCTTCTTATGACAAGCATGGGTTGCTGAAGATCAATTCTAACCCGGATCTTCACATGGGTCAGTGCTAATACTACTTTAGACATGTAGGCCCAGGAGAGATATGAATGATTCACTGAAATTGTCATGCTGGCTCTCAAAATCAACAGAATTTGGAAGATGATTGAATATACATGTAGTCACTATATTCGCAGGGTTTCAGGTCAAACTTACCTTTGCTGCATACAGGTTGGCAAGAGTGAAATGTGACACAGCTAGATTAGCGGATGTTTCTAGCGCCATGTTAGTGATGACTATAGCATCGTTTAGGTTGTCGGTCTGGTGCATCACGTTCGCCATGCTGATCAGTGCTGTGTCCTGGAACACCGAACATGTATCTATGCATTACCCAAGGGGAGGTCTGAGTGGGGTTAATTCCCATAGGGAGACATGAGTGAGGTTAATTCCCATAGGGTGATGTGAGTGAGGTTAATTCCCATAGTAAGACGTGAGTGAGGTTAATTCCCATAGTGAGACGTGAGTGAGGTTAATTCCCATAGGGAGACGTGAGTGGGGTTAATTCCCATAGGGAGACGTGAGTGGGGTTAATTCCCATAGGGAGATGTGAGTGGGGTTAATTCCCATAGGGAGGTGTCAGTGAGGTTAATTACCATAGGGAGGTGTGAATAGGGTTAATTCCCACAGGGAGGCATGGATAGGGTTATTCCCTATGGTGAATAACTATCTATATGACACACCCTGTATTCCCTATGGTGTAGAGGGGCGGTAGGGTAGCCTAGTGGTTAAAGCATTCACTCGTCACGCCGAAGACCCAGGTTCGATTCCCCACATGGGTACAATGTGTGAAGCCCATTTGTGGTGTCCCCTGCCATGATATTGCTGGAATAATGCAAAAAAAGGGGCGAAAAACCATACCCACTCACTCACTCATGGTGTACAAGCTGTAAGACTCACCCTGTATTCTCGGGGGGCATATGTCAGTGCAAGTCGGAGACAGTTGATGGCTCTTGGGGCCTCCCCCTCCACCCTCCAGTAGAGAGCCGCTAAATTTGCCAACACCCACGACGTGGCATTCTGCAGAAAACAACCATGGCCGTGAGGCTTAATTTCACATGTTTAATAACTAACAGCAATAATTGTCAGACATAAATAAACTTTCACTTTCAGAACACCAACATTACCAGATAAAATACACAAATCATTCATTATCAGAGCTCCAGATAACTTTTTGAGAAATTGAATTTTTACTCTAGAGTTTCTATCTTAATTGGGTTATTACATTTTTCATTGGTTAACCAATATTTTTTCACTGATCTATTCATCACTCTATTGGGGTTTTCCCAAAATTAGTAAACATTTTAAGATTAAAAAAAATAATGAAATAATGTTTTAGATGTAGATAACTGTTCTAAATATATAGGCTTGACTCGGAAAGTAAATTAGCCCGTAATTGTCTTTTGGAAATTAGCTCCTTTGTACACATGCTGAAAAAGCTTCATTGGGTATTTACGTGTGTTGTTTTAATACATTTGAGTTTTTCATTAAATGCATGCGTTTCTGTACACAAGTTAATTAGGTTTTGAATATTTGGGGGGGGGGTATTTTACGCAAATACGCTGCTTATCTGTAGCTCTGCATAATGAAACTAATAACCTGATAATCTAATTTTTTCTTGGACAAAACCTTTGAGTTTTCATGCCAAACTTGTCTTTTGACATAATTTTCTACAGATTTAAGACCAAACATGTGGACAGACTTTGGCATTGGATTAGCGACCTTAATCACAGACAGTTTCTGTGTTGTAAAAAGTGAGGTCATTTGGATTAGATTGTGAAGAACTTTGCATAAGTGCAAAAAACAGTCTCCATCTTGTATCTTACAGTCCTTTAACGTTTATGGCTCTCGTAAGCCAAATTGCACTCACCTCCTTCAATGCATGTGCTATACGAGCCCCAACCACCTGGACAGGCTCATCATTCCCTCCTAGCCGCTGCAACACCTGTGTACAACACACACAATCAATATCTGTCAAAAACAATTCAAGGGCACTGATCAATTTCAGTCAAAACTATGTAAATGCGCACTGAACCATTTAATACAGAAATATACAAAGACGAAACCCTTTCCAACCTCATAAGAAATTTGTGCTTAAACAAAGTCCATTGTAACATTACTCAGACTATACTCTAAGCACGGGTCCACACAATTGAACCGGCCACAATGGCCCGTGTCGTGACAAAATGTCCTAACTCACATCTCTGAGTCCAAGCTCTCCCGAGTAGTCCAGTCCAGCTCGACACTTCACACCTGGTAGGTGGTCGAAGCCGATGACGCTGGACGCCATCTTCCCCCGACACTCCGGCTCGTCCACTGTGTCCTTTATCACCATCTCAAAGTCGAGGTGGTCAGACAAACTGCAACATACAACCTGATCCTTTATTTGCCTCTTACGACAAGCGTAACCCGAATCCCCACAGGTCTGTCATTTGTATTTTAGGGATGGAGAAAGAAGGAAGGAGGAAGAAGGATGAAAGATGGAGGAAGAAGGATGAAAGGAGGAGGAAGAAGGATGAAAGGAGGATGAAAGGAGGAAGAAGGATGAAAGATCGAGGAAGGGGGATGAAAGAAGGAGGAAGAAGGATGAAAGGAGGAAGAAGGATGAAAGATGGAGGAAGGAGGATGAAAAATGGAGGAAGGAGGATGAAAGGAGAAAGAAGGATGGAAGACGGAGGAAGAAGGATGAAAGATGGAGGATGAAAGGAGGAAGAAGGATGAAAGATGGAGGAAGGGGGATGAAAGAAGGAGGAAGGAAGATGGAGGAAGAAGGATGAAAGATGGAGGAAGGAGGATGAAAGATGAAAGAAGGAGGATGAAAGAAGGAGGAGATGGATGAAAAATGGAGGAAGGAAGGAAGGAGGATGGCGGAAGAAGGATGAAAGATGGAGGATGAAAGAAGGAGGAAGGAAGATGAGGAAGAAGGATGACAGATGGAGGATGAAGGAAGGAGGGAGGAAGAATGATGGAAGGAGGAAGAAGGATGAAGGAAGGATGGAGGAAGAATTGGGGAAGAAAGGAGAAAGAAGGATGGAGGAAGAACGAGGGAGGGAAGAGGGAGGAAGGTGTACTAGGGCCTTGCTTATTGAATACAGTCCTGACACAGCTCTACATTAACCAGCTCTAGTTTAACTTACTCGATCCCCTTGGCTGTGACTGACAGCCATGTTGACGTGAACTGCCGAAAGTCTACCTCCCTGATGGACGAGCAGATCACTGGGTCAAAGTCTACATCATATCCACTCTTGGCATGGATGGAGGTATCTGAGGAACAAACCATATGATGGCAATCTGTAAATACTCGAGTCTTACAAACATCAATGAAAGGATGAAGGAAACATATTGTTAGACAGGTTTGTTTTTTGTTTCACATGGCACTCAGCAGTATTCAAGCTATATGACGGTGGTATGAAAATGATCAAGTCTGGACCAGACAGTCTAGTAAATGAGATCATGAGCATTGATCTACGCAATTGGGATACGATGAAATGCATCAACCAAGTCAGCAAGCCTGACCACCCAATCCCATTAGTCACCTCTTACGACAAGCATCGGTTGTTGAAGACCAAATCTAACCCATATCTTCACAGGGTTGTCCGATTTTTCAGTTGATATTGTCCATAATTTGATAAATTTAAATTGGATTACAGAAAAGGTAATGTTTTTCTAGATGCTCCCTCTTTTGAACTTCATGTATTATAGAAATAAATACTGAGTTACTGTTTAAAAACACTGATGAGAATGCAAGAACAACTTGAATGATTTTCAATCTGTATTCGTAAATTCATCATGACATATATGGACCCGTGAAGATCATGGTTAGAATAGGTCTTCAGCAACCCATGCTTGCCTTAAAAGGCGACTTTGCTTGTCGTAAGAGGCGACTAACGGGATCGGGTGGTCAGGCTCGCTGACTTGGTTGATGCATGTCATCAATCCCAATTGCATGGATCGATGCTTCGATGCTCATGATGTCAATCACTGGATTGTCTGGTCCAGACTCGATCATTTGCAGACCGCTGTCATATAGCTGGAATATTGCCGAGTGCGGCGTAAAACAACAAACCAACCAACCAACCAATCATCAGGACATAACCAACAGTGTTTCCTCACCTGGCAGTTCCATGTCCGGCAGAGGCAGACAGTCGTCTACCTGAGGCCCCTGATATCCGAGGGGACCACCAGGGGGCGCTGGCACATTGTTGATATCATATTCCTCCTCGCTGGAGGCAGCGAGAGCATCCTCGATCCGGCGACAGGACTTGAGGTGTTGGCTGACCAGCTTCTCCAAGGCTTCAACATCCTGCTCCAACTTCACAGTGTCCACCTCCAGTATCTACAGGGCAACAGTACAGATAGTATCCAAATTCATAAAACAAACTTAATAAATTTCTTTCTTATCATACAAAAACGTACAATTACTCAATTGACAGTCTATTTAGATAACTGATTTAACATGAAGTGAGTAATCTCAGAATGTAACGAGATGGTAGTTAGTATCAGTTCCAACAAGTGTCCATTTATTCTTTTCAAATATGATCTACACATGAAAATGACAAAGCTATTGACAGCCTCTAAGATTTTATCTGTTGTTAAACACATCACTCAGCAATATTCCAGCCACATGAGTGAGTGAGTGAGTTGGGTTTTACCGCTTTTAACAGTATTCCAGTTATATCACGGCGTGTCAGCTTAATGTGGGAGGAAAGCCCGAAGTGATGCAGGTCTCAAGACGTTTACCACTTCTGTGAAACCCACGAGCACGGGTATGGTGCTGACAAACCTCGAAACATAATCGGGGCAAACCGGGATTCGAACTCAAGCCATATGAGACAGGCCTGTAAGGAAAAATCAGACCAGATAAACCAGTGATTGATACGACAAGCATAGGCTGCTGGGGACAGAATCCTTCAGGGAGGACATCAGTCCTCACAACATCACGATGCTATGTCACAGTTAGCTTAAAAAACATCAAAGTACGACATTTAATCTCCACAAGGGAGAATGGAAACAAACCTATTTACAGCTGTAGCATCATGATATACATTAAATGATGAAGTAACATACAAATAGGTAAAAAATATATGTAAGTATTAACATAAAAAGAAAACAGGTTTGACTCCAAAAAAGAAATAAAATAAGTTAGAGAATTAGAAAATCAACTCACATTATATTATCCAGACTTGTTACAACAGAGTTATACAACAGTCTCACATAGACAAAAATCTAATTCAAAATACATGCTTGAAAACATGGTATACCTACATATATTGACAAACCTGCAATTAAGGATTTGGGTAGAGATATGGGTTACCTTGAAAATACTGAATATCAGCACTATCCATATTTATAAATGTTACAATACTATAACGAAAATACATGGAAATGGGAAAAAAGATTCTTGCTTTCAAACTCACTGATCAGGTAAAACATTAGCCTTGTGATGTCATTTTTAAATCTGAATTAAACTCATCTCACAAGGTACATGTGATGATAGTATATTTGCGAAATACAAAGTTCAGCTCTGTAAGCATATATATTAAGATTATTATCAAAAGAAAGAACTGCATTGAAATTCAAAACGAATCCAGAAATAATCATGAACTTTCTACATGAATTCCATGTAAGCCAATTCACATGCAAGGCTGTACTGTTGCCATGGATACAAGCATACAACTCCTGTCAACTTTTGAGTGAGTGAGTATGGTTTTATGACACTTTTAGCAATATTTCAGCAATATCAAGGAGGGGACACAAGAAACGGGCTTCACACATTGTACCCATGTGGAGAATCGAACAAGGGCCTACGCTGTCAACTTTCACTAATGTTAACCTGCAGTTGTGAAACCATGATTTTATGTCAAACTGAAATCCTCTAAACTTCACACAGTGATTTTGTATTCCTGAGAACACAAAGACAGTCACATGTTGCAATGAGCTTATTTAAAAATACAAAGACTGGTTTCTGTTTCTCTATAAAATATAAAAATACAGATTCGTCTAACGGTTTTGGTGAGTCTATTTTTAGAATAACCCATGCGGGGAATGCTCTGTTTTCTAGTGCAAATATCTCAGCCTTCTTCATGAAATTATTACAAACTATCTATTGAAAATGTTTACATTCAAGAGAGTTTATCACACCTGTTTGAGAGAAAAAAGTCTTGGATACATACTCACCATGAACATTATGTTACATAATTGATGCAATGGATGATTTCATCCTTTGCTTTATAAAGGAGAATACTTTGTCCATCAACAAAACGTATTGATCAAAATGTACTGGGAAACGGGAAGAATTCTGTACGTACTTGTTCCTGGCAACAGCATTTGAAGCAGGGAAATAAGTTTCTTGTTCACTTACATTGATTTATGCAAATTGATGATAAACATCACACACTATATATGAACTTGCACACAGCAATGTTTTCAAATCATGCCACACACATATAACTGGCACTGTTGCATGCAGGAACTAAAATACTCCTAGTTTTCAACTGTAAACCATTGTACTGATAAGTTTGCAGCTCAATCTAGATGAATTCTATAAAAGATGAGTCAATAGACAACAAAAGACACCAATACTGTATGAATGAAATTTCACAAATGGTGCAATTAAAGCTCACAAATTGTGTAGACATGTTTTATGTCACAAGTCCACTGCAAATTCTGACAATATGAAGTAAGTTTAAAAAAAGTTATCTCCCAATTTCCAAAAACACAAACATCTTGGGGTAGGAGAAATTGAAACTGTTATAAATAGAAACACATGAATGTTTCTACACAACACAGATAAAGAAACAACTGTCAACAAGGCAGGTGAAGTAATTGGGCAGTCATGCGTCTAGGAAAATCAAAGCAATGAAATCGTGCTTACAATAAACAAGTTTGACAAAGAAGAATCACATGCATCAGTAAACTGTAACAAAGCTGACACTTACTCCAGCATCATCAATGCCTGCTACTGCGGCTGCAGCAGAACTTGGAGAGGAAGCAAAAGACTAGACATTCCTGTCCTTGGAGAGGAAGCACTAGACTAGACCTTCCTCTGTCCATAGAGAGGAAGCACAAGACTAGACCTTCCTCTGTCCATAGAGAGGAAGCACAAGTGTAGACCTTCCTCAATCCAAAGAGAGGAAGCCCAAGACTAGACCTTCCTCCGTCTATAGAGAGGAAGCACGAGCCTAGACCTTCTCCGTCCACAGAGAGGAAGCACAAGTGTAGGCCTTCCTCCGTCCATAGAGAGGAAGCACAAGCGTAGGCCTTCCTCCGTCTATAGAGAGGAAGCAGAAGCGTAGGCCTTCCTCCGTCCATAGAGTGTATCTGACTATTACTGACAATGCATGAAGTTGTAAGGTGTCCTTGACTGCAAAATGCAGCTATTGACATGTCAAAGTCACACACATGGACGTATGTCTGTCATGAAAAATCCAATCTCTCTTCTCTGATGTCACATGACCTGACTTCTCTGATGTCACATGATCTGTCTTCTTTGATGTCACATGACCTGTCTTCTCTGATGTCACATGTCCTCTCTGATCTTACATGATCTGTCTTCTGTCACATGGCCTGTCTCTTCTGATGTCACATGACCTGTCTCCTCTATCACATGATCTGTCTTCTATGATGTCATATTTTCCACTTTTATCATGGTTGTGACATGGCATCCAGGCAGAGAAGCAAACATGGGGCAAAATCATGACAAGTGAACACTTTACCCATCAGGCTACGCTTGCAGGGCACACCAGCAGCCATACTGATTGTATGCTTATTAGCAAGTCTTGATGCTTAATAATGTAGTTTCAAGTTTCACAAGCCAACCTTGGCCTTGGTTCCACCATCTTCTAATCAGTGAGACTAGCTGTGAGTGAGGGAGGTTTTACTTTTTTTGCAATATTCCAGCAATATCATGGCAGGGGACACCTAAAGTGTTCTTCACACATTCTACCCATGTGGGGATTCAAACCCAGGAATAAGGTGTGACAAGCTAACACATTAACCACTAGGCCACTCCATCGACCCTACTGGTATAAGATGGAAACTGAACACAACAGAGCAGTGGATTTCAATCTCCTTTATTATTCTGCTTCATTTATAACAGCTGACTTGACATAAAACCATTCAAAAACAGGTCCTGATGACTGCAATCACCATCAACAAGGTAAGTATACAGGAAAGGATATAGGTTAGGATAGCTGCCCTTGATGCCTGTTACAACTCCAGTGTACAGGTATATGGATACAGACACTGAGCACACCGACATGGTCTATATGGGGGATACAGCTGTGTTAGGAATTCAGAGAAGCTGCCCTTGATGCCTGCCACAACATAGAGTGGTCAGCTGTAGTGTTTACAGACATGGGCCCACTTGCACAAAGCGATCTTAGCGCTAAGATGATCGTAACTCCCATACTTTAACATAGGCCTACAATAGTTGTAGCGCTAAAATCGCTTTGTGCAAGTGGGCCATGGTCTAAATACGAAGGAAGTCGGAGGTCAGAGTTAGTGAGGCAGTTGAGTAGAAGCCACTGATGGCATTATTTGACAATATCACGCCTGTGGACTCCAAGAGTGGCCTTACAAATTGTAATTTGTATTCATGGACAGAATCAAACTCAGATTGTTGGTGGGATGAGAAAACCCTCTATCCATTAGGCCAACAGAATCATTAGGAATGAATCAAGATGCTACATTGTCTACCCTAAAATGTGTCGCTAAACTTCACACCTCTAATAGACTAAAGCTCTTCAGTGAGGGAGAGGAGATGACTATCCTTGTGATATCCACCACCCTCCTTAAGTAATGACACAACGGTCAACTGAAATAGGCTCACAGGGTTAAAAAATAACGTAAGTCTGCCAGTCTGTGACCAGTAAAATTGATGAAGGGTCGGTGATATTTCTTTGATTACTACCACGTTTACTATTGGTTACCCTCCAGCATATTTTGTAGACTTGTGAAAATAGAAACTGACGAGTTGTGAGAGAGTATGGTTTTATGATGCTTTTCACAATATTCCAGCAATATCACAGCGGGGAACACCAGAAATGGGCTTCACAAAACTGACTTGTAACCCTGGCTAATAGATCCTTACATATCACTGAAGGTCTCCTTGAAAAAAGCTCGGACCTTGGAGTCCTTTAAAAAAGACCTGTGTCAGCTGCAGTACTGGACTCATCACCATGACTACAATAGTTTCAATACACTCTCACTGAAGCTTATTGCAACCTCGATAATCCAGGGTATTTTATCCCCTTTCTATAATGATAAATGCTCTGAGATTAAAAGTGTGTGATGTACTGCATTAAGCTAAATTAATCTCACAGAAACTCTGTGCTA